CTGTAGTACATAATTGAATAGAGTTGTTTAAACATTTCTTAATAACAAGTAAAAGCTTGGAATGATCTATTATTTCATTGGGGGGGGGGGATGTCTGTGAACCAGACTAGTTTCGGAGAATTCCACTCCTCATCAATGACCCTGGACACTACCACCAATGAAACTTCAGACCAAACCAAGCCTTTATAGTCTGGTTCACAGACACACCCACAATGAAAGAATAGACCATTCCAAGCTTTTATTTGTTGTTAAACAAATGTTTAAAGAACTCTATTCAATTTTAATTCATATATAAAGTTAACTTTATAGTTGGTTAACTTCAACTATAGACCATAAACTAATGCATGCACTTAACATCTATATTATCAACTCTCACATCAGCACAAACAATTTTCATCCATATAGAAGAGACATATAGACCTACTTGTTTAGTTCCACAACCTTTTAATGGAATCCGAAACTGATAATAACGTCTACCGTCACCGTAGAGTTTGCAAGGACCTGAGCGATCATAATCGGTGTAAGTTATCCCTCGGTAAGGTTCCGTAAAATTCATTGTTACCACCATCTCTCCAGACTCGCAGGACAAATAAGCTGACGTTGAATAAAACGATATACGTTATAAATACTTGAATTACCAACTGTATTTAATATTAAGTTTATTGTTGTTGTTTTTACCTACTAGTTTGTTTTCACATGTTAGTTATTTCTCTTGTAAAGAGATTTGCAGCAGCTAATGGTTAAAGATAATTTGATAAAATGTATAAAATTAAATGACTTAGAAAAGTTCAGTATGATAAATCTGAAAATGATGCCGTATTTAAGATGCCATATTTAACTGAGAATGATAAAGAACGCCATTCGTTAATCTGACTTTATGGTTAGGCGTTTTAAAGCGGGTTTAGTTACACAGAACGGTTCAAAACATGATGGCTTGTCATACTTGAAAAGCTAATTAGCTACAGATAATTGCAATCAATTGTGTGCATAAAAATATTAAACGAGAAAGTAAAGCAAAAACACAATAACGTTGGAAAGTTGAAATAAAAAAATGGAATACTTCTATAATCTCATACCTTCTGCCCAACGTTTCTTGTATTTGGTAGTGAATCCGTGAATTTATGGTTCGCGGCTTCTTGCCACAAAAAAAGTGGTCCACCACTCTTCGGGGCCATGAATGCGCTATAAGATTGACGGCCCAAATCCCACTATACGATCAAAAAAGAATAGCCCAAAAGTTGACGGTGGGTACTGTTAACTAGCTATCTTCCCTCTAGTTTATTAGTCCAAAATTAGGGACGGCTTTCTACATATAGTCCCTATGTATCAAAACTTTGGAACTAACAAATACATAAACATTTTAGGCCCAAAGAAGAAATTTACTTTTCAATAAAAATCTGTAAATCTCCGATCCTGTAAAATCAAACTTTTCAAATAATATCATTTTCGAGTTCCGTGTATTGTCTAAACTTATTTTTGGGTCAGCTTGTATCTTGATGTTCTTTCTGGAGCTACAATACGGTAACCTCAACTTTTTCTTCGATAATATGTTATTCTGATCGTCCATCGTTCATATACTCTGTACTATCAACAGCATGAACATCTATAGTTATCAAACACTGCCACCTGCAGATGGATGCATCTCTTACACGTCAGTAACACGTGCTGTTGGGCGGATCCAGGATCAGCTTACGTCATCGCAATTGATATATGATCGATAATTACAAACTGCCAAACTCATTATATTCTTAACATTAATAACATACTACATTATAGCAAATATGGTTCTGGCGTGGCCTTAGTATTTAGCATAGCGGAATACAAATTAAAAGATCCGAGGCTGAAGCTAGTATATCTCATTGAACACGCTCCGCACCTTCAGCTATGTGGATATTATAAATGGGACAGTCAGCCTACTATTCGGTTAAGAATAGCAATGTAGACGGCGGGTAATGCTGACCGGTTACCCACCCGCTGATTAGTAAGTCTAAATTGGGAGTTACTGAATCTATGCCTTCAGATATATAATCTTACTGCTTCACCACTGTAACGCACGAGGTGCTTTTCTGTTGAAAATAGGCCCGGCATGGCCAGGTGGTTAGGGCGCTCGACTTGTAATTTGAGGATCGCGGGTTCGAATCCCCCTCCAACCAAACATGCTCGCCCTTTCAGACGTGTGGGGATTATAATGTGTCGGTTAGTCCCATTATTCGTTGGTAAAATAGTAGCCCAAGAGTTGGCGGTGGGTGGCGATGACTAACTGCCTTCCCTCAAGTCATACACTGCTAAATTAGGGGCGGCTAGCGCAGATAGCCCCTGTATAGTTTTGCGCGAAATCCAAAACAAACAAACCTTTTTTCTTCAGGGGCAAACTTAAAATATCTCAAAACACAAGGATCTTCAAGATATTTTTTTTCTTAATGGTCCATTTGGTTATAATTGTGCAAAGTGTGAAAACAGTAATATTAGTTACCTCTAGTTTTATTGGTGACTATCTCGCTGCTAAATTCATCTGCCACAGCTGAACGCACGACATTTTCCACGTTGCTGTCGTTTCGACGACGCTCCTGGCCCTCTATTGTGGAAATCTGCAAAGTTTTTCAAAATGTGAAATTAGATTCCAGAGTTTGTGAAATCAAATAATAAATATATATAAACACCAAAATAATAATAATAATAATAAACCGTTAACTTTCCGTACAAAATAAAATATTTATACGTAGCATAGCGGTAAAATCTACACATTTAAAGAAAAAATAGTTAATTTTAATGATGCAGAAATATCTAAGCTCATTAAGGTCGTTTCTCCAATTTAGAGGCAGCTTTAGTATAGTTGCTTTAATTAAACAAATCTTAACCGCAAATCAGTACTAAAGCCAGACACTAGATGGCAGGAAGAGCCGCCGCTTGCATTTGAGGAATTAGTTGTTTCTAAAATTTAAAAACAATTTCCTTATTGATGGATGAACAAAATCCTTGTATTTTTTTGTTTGTATGTTGTTAAGCATAAAGCTACACAATGGACTATCTGTGCTTTATCTACAGCAGGTAATGAAACCCAATTTTTAACCTTATAAGCCCACAGCCTTACCGCTCAGCTACCGTGAGATGAATGAAATAAAAGAAATATAAATGGTGTTTATAATTTTTGTTTCAATCGATTCCAGACAATGGATTTATGAGAAAAACCAATTAAATGAACTTATATTGTTTAATGTCACAGAATTAATACAAGGTATAAATTATTTCACTCGTTTTTTTTGTTGTGTTTTTTTTTAATTACATAAAGTACAAATATTATCAAAAAATCAATTTTCACTTACCATAACAAGTGTAGCGATTAGAAACTGTGAGGTTGTCATCGTCTTCCTAAAAACTAAAAAAAAAGAATGTAATATTAACCACGTTTTTTTTATCAAATTGGTTGTTTGTGATTAAGTACAAAGCTATACAAAGGGCTATCTGTGCTCTGCCCACCACGGGTATCGAAACTCGGTTTCTGGCAGTATACGTCCGCAGACATATCGCTGTGCCACTGGGGGGATTTATCAAATTAAAAAAAAAACTTATGACAATTTTTCCTTTAAAATAATTCTTCTGATTAATTAATCTACATTTGATTTATATGTTGTTCAACTGCTAATTCATTTTTTAAAGTGCTAAATCAAAAATGATAAAGTTTTAAAAAAAAAGTCCACGGTATTTATTTCATTTGGCAACCTAAAAGCATTGTAGCAATATCTTATTGACATAACCGTGAAAACTCCATCAGCTATTTAGTCCTTTATAAATGCTATTAGGCTCTCAATAATACTATTGATGTATTGCATGCCATAAGTTTCGCAGGAGCCGTCTTTTAATTGGTCGAATCAATTAAAGTAAACACGAAAAAGTTCGTTAAACTCCAGCTCTGTATCTAATGTGAGGATCGCACAATCTCTTACATCTAGATATGCTAATAGTGAGAATGGCGAGGTTAACGGCCCTTTTTTTTCTCAGAATCGTCGATGGTAAGACTAGTGAAAGTTAATGAACTATGACTGCCGAATAAACACAGTGAAAGATACGTGTCTTGCGGTTCCATCATGGGCTACGTCGTCAACCCTCACTCTGTTTTCTAAAGTAACGAATTTGAGTATCTAAAATCAACGTTTACAAGAGTGTTTCCATAAACCGATAAAATCTTTTTTTTT